CTGCAAGGTTTATTTCTTCAGGATATGGGTGCTCTATATGATTGTTGGATTGGTTGGGTTATTGCTTTTTTGTTTGATGCTTTATCTCCCAGCTACCTATCTCTTTACTGCTCGATGCTCTCTCTGTTGAGTTGTTCTTTCACCTATGTCTCATACTTCCCACTGCTGCTGGGTGTTTCTATCACCTATGATTTGCTAGTTGGTTCGATTACTGTCCCACTTTAGAGGATTGTTGATCGTATCAATTGCTTCCCTACGCCTAGAAGGTTATGGCATGTGTTTTACAATTGGGATACTCCACTTCGGTGCACTCATCTGTTTCATTGCAAGGAAGTTCATTTTAGTGAGTATGCATATTTTTCACCTGGCTCGGACTATTACTGTTTACTTTTCAGCATCTATGCTCTGGTTTCTTGCAAGCTCTTCTGGTTGCAACATGGTTTAATGGCTAAAGAGAGATCTTGCCTTTGGTTTCTTACACCTGTTGCTATCTGGTCTATTTGGATCTCACCTCTTACTCTACAGTGGCTCTTTAGTTATTTTTGGGAGTTGGGTTTGATATTCTTGTACATGTTCGGGTAAACGTTTTGTACTTGGTATATTCATTTTCTTTTGCTTTGGGTGGAATTGTATGTGGATGAGTGACGGGTATACGTTATGGTGGCCATGGTGGGTATACGTTATGTATTTGGTATATTCATATACTTGTACATGTTCGGGTACACGTTTTGTATTTGGTATATTCATTTTCTTTTGCTTTGGGTGGAATTGTATTATTCTCATTTCGCCAAATCCTAATGTATGGTTTTATGATCCTAAAAAAATAATATGTTGCTCTGTGCTCAACTTATAACTTTAAGTTAGATGTGTGCTTCATTTGAGTGCAGTACAAATGTGATTGTCTAGTTATAAGGAAAATAGTCTCCTTGTGTCGTCATAAAGCATGGTTTTATAATTTGGCGAATATTTTTTCCTTAACCTAATTTATGCCACATATCTTATTATTAGTTGGTTTGTGCTTTTATTTTGCTCATACTAGTTCTTTATTTGTGATAGATAAATAACAACAGCTCACTAATTTGATGTAACACTATTTTTCATGACTTATTTTAACTTTTTTGAATTATGGTCATATTGTTTGAGTTCAAATGCTCATATTTACTATCTTATATTTAAAGAAAATAAGTTGTTCATGTGATTAGTATAAGCATTTCATAATATTTGTGTCTGTTAGCATCTCCATGGAGCCTATAATATATTAGTCTCTCTCTTTCTACAGATGTTGCAATTTTTGGCTATTAGTCGATGCAACATGCTACAATAAAGAAAGGTTTTACCTTTCTGTGGTCCTTTTAGTCATGGCTTGCTTTACCCGCTTCATTGAACTGGTGCTAATTGGGTGTATTGATGATTAGGTTCTTTCTTTGGAGCATAACAATGCGGTTAAAAGGGAGAGCTAGGATTTGCTCAAGTACATCGAGGACAACTTTGAGGGCCCTTCTTTGCTTCTTGATGTAAGAGCAGTTGAATAACTTTCCTTAGCTAGATTAACACTAGTTTTAGCTCCTTGAGGTATTGATATGCTTTGTGGAAAATTATTGTAGGATACAGATAAAAAAAGGTTTGCAGAGGAACTGCTGGATTTCACTGGCTCCTTCAATGGTGTTTCATATCGAGACTTGCCTTCCAAGGGTGATGTCAGTCAAGAAGTTGGTGAGTTACCAACCCTGATTTTTGTTCTGGTTTATAAGAACTTTTTTCATCTGTTGAAGCCCTGATACATCTCTTAGTTCATGAACACTGCAATTACTACTTTAAACAAGATAGAAGAATAACTTTCAAAGTTTGATGATGGGCTTTTTTTCCTCGGACAATTCAGTCTGGTAAGAGTTGAAAATTTAAGTAAGTGAATTTCAGAATTATTTTTCTTTGATTTAGTGTCGTTTGTCTCATTGTTGAATAATGTGATATATTTTAAATGGATACAGAATATGCTCCGTTTATTGAGAGGATTCAGCTTTGTTTGTCGATTTAAGGAACTATGACATTACCAAGGGGAGGCCCAAGCTGGCACTATGGATTGAGGTACATTTAAGTTCTGTTTGGGATAAGCTTTCTAATTGTTTTGTGTTTCAAGCTTGATTTGGGAACTGTTTTCTTCCTATTTTTAGAAATCTGTGTTAGGAAGTTGTCTGATTTTTTTGTGAAAAATATATATTTATAATTCTCACATTCCCAGCGTAGCTTTCTAAAAAATAATTATTTATATTGTTGAATTATTTTTAGTTTTAATGCGTTAATTGAATATGAGCATCACTAATGCCTTAAAATAATTCACACAACTTTTAAAATAATTAATAAACTTACAATTACCATTTTACAATTAGTGGAAATTTAAACGTGCATGTTATCTGTTTAATCCATCTGGGCGCAAAGAACCAAATATGCAAAATTTAGCCAATAGTATCAGATTGTTATAGATTTTATAAAAAACTAGCGAACCATAATTTTTAATAGTAAACTTTATGTTATATTTTATGAAATTAACTAAAAGCATTTTTTATACACTGTTTTGATGTATGTGACAGATCTTACATCCACTACTACTAAGTTAGCCATTCAGTTGGAAACAACAAAAAAAAAATGGAAACAGTGGGAGCAGTAAGCATGCATCAAAATCTTTGAAGGATGGAAAGTTGAGAGGTTTGGAAGCAGAGGAGCTAAATTTACCTCTTTCAAGAACTTCAATAGAGTCTATTCATGTTCTCGGTGTTGAAAGTCTTCCATTGCCATCAGCAAACACGCTACTGTCGCCTAACTCACCAGTAAAGGTGTATATAAAGAGAAGATGTATATAAAAAAGTTTAATATATTTTTTTAATTTTTTTGAGTTGATGCAGGTCATAAGTGTATATATATTAAAAAATAAATGTAATTCTTTTTGTATAATTTTTTTTTTGTTTTTTATTTGAGATTTTATTTGTATTCTTTTGTATTCTTGTTTAATTTGTAAATTTTAAAATTTGTAATGAAGTTCGTATTTTGTAAAATTTTGTAAAAAAATATTAATATTCTTTTTCTGTAAAATGTTGTATGAAATTTATTCTAGAAAATTTTTAGGTAATCTATGTTTCATGAAATATATACTTGAAATTTGTTTGGAATTAAATTATTAATACAAACAGTTTTTTAGAAAATTTATTATTTTAATTTTATTTAAAAAAATAAATTATTACAATAATTTTATAGTCTAACGAGCCAATTTCGAGTCGAACACGAACATGAATAAAATTTTCGAGTCGAACACGAACACACTGTTCACGAACTATTTCGAACAAGAGCATATATCGAACACGAGCCGATTTCGAACGAGCCGAACAAGAGCCCAGCCTGAGCTCACTCACTCAAGCTCGGCTCGTTCACAGGTCACCATTTTGCTATACATAAATTGAGCTCGTTGATTGGCAACTTTGTAGGTTTGAGCTTGTTGGGTTTTTCTTCATTGTTCAGTTTGCATCTTTTGTATTCTTTTTTTCATCTTTGTTGTCTAAGCTCATGATCTGTGGTTTCATTATCCGATTTGTAGTTTCACTAACTCTATGGTCAATCACAAGACTGCTACTTAAGGTGCGCCTTTTATCTGATTATATTCTCTATTAGTATATTATGATATGATGCATATTAGATTACAAAGCAAACAAAAAGTTTAGATTGATGAAATAATGATATTTTTGTATATTAAATATATGTTTCCAATTTTCTTTAGTTTAAATACCAATCATACATTAAAATTAAATCAATAAATTTATAATGAAACTTATCATGTCTGGATTACTTTTGAATTGAATCAAAATAGACCCATTTGGAATACTTAATCAAGTTCAAGTTGATCTAATTTTAAATATTTTGAGTTTGAGATGGGGTTGACATGCTTGAAATTGACACATTACCATTTCTACCTAACCCAAAGAGAGTCAATTGAAGTAAGAAGTTTTTCCCTAATGTTAAATCAAGTCAAATTTTTATAAGTGTTTACAAGAGACCATCCAAAACCAGGACACAAACAACTTTATATGTGGACTACTTTCCATTCTCCTACGAAAAATTAATTCTCGTTTGTTAAACTCTCACTTATCATAAATTATGATTTTAAGAACAAGATGATGAGAATTTTAACATTCATGTTTTGCATGCAGATTTCTACTAAGTGCATATGCAATAGGAAACATAGCAACATGATATGGAAACACAAGTCTACAAAAAGTAGGATGCAAAAATGAAATTACACAAGAGATCATGTTTACCTAAAAATATAACTATCAACAATACCATTGGTCCGGTCGTTTCCTTGTATTCTATGATGGGGAGAACTACAAGGAGAAAGATTTAGTGAATATTAAGCAATTCTACCCAATTTGAAGGATAAAGTTCTAGTAAGGAGACTTAATAAGTAATGCCCAATGACTTGGTACACCCAGCTTGATGATTCAACGAGCAATCCTCAATACAATCAATTTAGTCACGACCCAAGCGACTCCAAGAGAACTTTTGCATGTCTCCATTGTGTCATAATCTATCTAGATAATGTTATATTTTTAATCTTGTAGGAGGGGCATGCTACATAGTCTCCTAAAAATAACATCCACTCGTGTCAGCATCAATTAAGTCCAAAAGTCATCAAATGCTAGAATCTTGGGGTATATAATTTGTGCTCATTTTAATTATAATCATTCAGCTATAACATAAGCTTCTAATCAAGTGATAAATTAATCTAAACTTACCAAGTGATGATTTCATCAAATATTCATTGTCTAAACTAACAAATATATGCCAGCAAGAATTTCCATATGAAGAATCATAATTATGCTAAAGTGATGATATGGTTGATAAGAATAGCTTCTTGGTTAATTTAAAACATGAAACTGCATGAATATTAATCAAATAAGTATAACAATGCCTTCATAATACAATAATACTGAATAATGATAGCTTGAACATACCCACATGACCCTTGTGGAAAAAAAGCAATGGTTGGCCACCTAACTCAGTAAAAAGTTGATGGCTGAATTGCTTCTTAGCAACCTGCTAAAAAGTAAAAGCAGAATAGAATCACAGCATTTCTCAATTTGGTAGCTAAGTCGTAAAAAAAATTAAGTATAAAGTCATAAATAATAAGAAGTATAATGGCTGGAGGCGAGGTACAATTTTCTTCTATGTCAGAAGCACACTTTGTTGATTTGACTCAATTCCTTAATGGTTTGCATGCCAAAATTAAAATAAGGCATCTTAAATATTTGTTATGCACCATTTCTCTCCTTACCAACATGATTAGAAGAGCATGTCGCTTTCTTAGTTAAAAAATCAATTATTTTAAGTACTTCTATAAAGCAATCTTTTCTATTATTTGTCGACAAAATTTCTTAAGTAAAAAAATAGCCATGGCGTCAATCGGCCTAAACTAGCTATTATGATGCAAGCGGATCAATGCCGATGCCCCAAGTGGAAACAAAGAAAGAAGATCTTGTGATGTATCACAAAACACCTCCCCACTCCAATAAGTTAAAGCCTCAACAAATCAACGAAGTCAAATGAGGATAACTTGGGCCAATTAGGTCAAATGTTTGCCCACTAGTAAAGATGCTTAAGGATAACTAAAGCATGGATTTAAGTATAACTAAAGCACGTCTAGCTATGCCAAGAAAAAACAACCAAGATCCAAAATGACAATTGTCTTTCGGGCCCCACTCCTTAAATTCATCAGTTCATTAATGCACAGTAATTTCATCACATTAAACCTCTAATTCATCTTCAATAATGCATAGTACCTTAGAACTACAAGAAGTCATATTGTGCCGATGTGTCATCCAAGGTAAGACAATTCCAAAATCTAATTATAATAGAACTTGTTCTCTGCAAGCTTTCACCTTGATTTGCATAGGATTTTTAAAAGTAAGCAACCCAGAACTATCACCTAAACTCCCTAGAAGTCATACGGCTAAGCTCTTTAGCTTTTGCGGAAAATGTCTACATGGTCAACTCGGGAATACAAAAAATTGATTTTGATTTGGTTAGCAATCTATCTCATCAAATTCAATTGTTATGATGAATTTTAACCCAAGGCAACTATTGATCTTTAATTGAGAGTGTACTCTATATGGACAAAAATATAACTAATAATTAGAACCTGTAAACGCAGGAAACTTCAATAGCCCAAATATAATAAATCCTAGTCAATAACATAGGGAAATCTCTAAGAAACATCAAACAATATGATTTTGAAATCCGCCAAACTTAAAACTTCAAAGAACAAAGAACACCTAGAGCGCATGAGACTTTTAGAACCCACACTTACTTTCCCGTTAGACCTTAAATACAAGTTTACTGGCATGATAGCAATAAAATTTAAGCCTAAGGTCCTCAAAGTGTTTAAAGCTAATGTTAGGGCTATCCAGAGTCATTAAATTTCATCAACTCCCATTTTTAAATGCAAATATAGTTTTCTAAAACAATTGAAAGCAAGTACGGAGTAGTGGTTAGGTTGCCTCTATTACAATGTGCAGGGTATAATTTTAGGTAATGTAAATAGAAGCTTCCAAATGGAGTGGTAAGGTTGAACAGATCCACCCCTCCAAAAATTTCAGATTGACAACAGCTTCAAGAAATGTGAAAACTCAATTTTAGTTTTCAAAAACAGCATGTCACCAATAAACTTAAGAAATTATCGCTAAACAGTATATATTCAAAAGAATTGCTTGCTCTTGTCGTTAATGTTCATCAAATTATACAATATAGCATAGTAGTAATTATATGAAAAGCAGAACAAATCTTTTCATGTCAGCAGAGGAGCAAACTGGTGCTGTGTAATGCCATGGAAGGATCCAATACTTAATGGTAGCACACTATACCTCTCTGGATTACTTCTGCAATCAGGAACAAACAAGGTTCTTATGCCCAACCATCTAAAATTCCACAGAAGATTGTCCCAATTTTGCATTTCTACCCTTCGAAAACTAACAAGATAGGAAGTCATGATACAGATTACAGGAAGAAATTCATGAAATTTTCAGGTAAGGGTTGCTAAATATCAAGCTGATTCATTTTCCGAAGCTTCACGACTCAACAGAGGAAAAGAAAACATCATCTTTCACCAGCCAACAACCGTGTACACTGGAATGAGAAAGGTAATAAACAATTATGAGAGAGGCGTTGAAACTGCGGCAGGTCCGCATAAAACCCAAACCGCCGAATTTCAGGAACAACTCCCACAGAAAAAAATGAATGAAAAGCAATACATAGCTAAAAAGACCCGTTACCCAGAACCGCGAAAAATAATTTGGGTATAACCAATATGGAAATTAAAAAAAAATTCAAAAAGGTTATGCAGAAATTGAAGAAAAAAAGATCGCACCTGTGTGAGGAGGCGCTGCCAAGCCATAACCCTCCTAAGAACCCTATCGTTGTTTCGGTCGGAATCGGGCTCTTGCAGTGCGATATCCGCCGAGCTAAGTCCTCGGAGCGGAGAAGGAGGGCTTCAGTGAGAGGAGCACGTCTTTGTAGAAATTTACCGCATGCAAGGCACCGCTGCACACCTCTTCTTTAAGACTTTATTAACATCCATAAATTTGAGCACCTACACCTGTTTCAATAAGCAGCAGGCGGCTCTCAAACCGTTTTTAGGATAAGCAGTTGTAGGTATATTGGAGAAGAAATATTAAAGAGACCTGAAGTTCAAAATTTTAGAAATAATTCAAACAGAATAATAAAAGTAAATTTTAAGGGTTCATATTTCAGCATAATTCATCATAGTACTTCGAGAAACTGGCATAGATGTTAAAATCAAATACTCCTAAACACACATAGAAGGGAGAGAGATTTATAAACCTCCCATCCTCATCAATTCATATTTTGACATACTAAAGAATCTAAAGAAACTCACATAAATGTGATAACCAAACATACTCAAGCACACATAGAAGGAAGAGTGTTCTCTTTATGGTATTTTTTGTAATTAGGGATAATATGATCTTTAGGCTTTATTTACTTATACATCATAATCCTCCTCTATAAAAGGGACTTAGGGTTCATGGAAGAGATATGGTGACAAGTGCAAGAGTTTTAACCTCAAGTTATTTTTTCTCACTCCATCCAGTGCTAGTGAAATCTCTATCCCAGTGGACATAAACAAATCCTTTGTATTTGATTGTTGTTAAGTAAATCTCGTTGTTTATGCATTGTTTTCACTTAACAATTAGCATCTGAGCTTCAAGTTCGTGATCAGAACGTGGCTTGGCATCAAAAAGAACAAATCTGGCTGTGGTTGCCGGAGGATTTTGCAGTAGGTGATCCGACATGCTTTGTCGTTGACTCCAATGACGGTTCCATTGGCAAGCAGACATGCACGGCTCGAGGATGTGCTCTAGGAGGACGTTCGGCGTAGGATGGTGGAGAGCGAGCTATCCAATGGTTTGGAAAAGGATCACGTGGAATTAGAAGAAGAAAAAAAGAGATTTTTTTCTTTCTATCATTGGTTCTGACATCGAGAAAGAAAAAAAAAATGCTTTTTTAAAAAAAAGTCATTTTTAGGAAGGTAACAAATGGAAACTTTGCAAATAAAGAAAAAAAGAGAAGTACTAATTAGGGAAAGTGAACTTTCAAATATTAAGGAAAGAAAAATGGAAAAAAAGAACAAAATATTTTCTTAGAATAAAATTAAAAAAAATATATTTTTTTTCATGTGAACTTTTTTGTTTTGTTATTTTTCTTTCTTTCTTTTTTTCAGGTTTCCAAAGGAGGAAAAATTCCAAGGAATATGTAATTCTGCTAGAGGAATTCTTTTGGGAAAGAGATTCCTACAATGGGATTAATAAATGATAGCTCGGTGTCAGGTTCTTCAACATTCACTATGATGGTGGAAAAGTCGATTCATTAGGTTGGCACGCATCCCGTTAAAATTGATGTGAAAAAACTCTATGACAAATGAAAAATTGGTATGTGGCGATGAGAGGTAATGAATAAATTGTGTTCTTTAAATCTGAATAGCGAGGAATGCCCTGAGGAGATGTCTGAGAGAGATTGGTTGAAGATGAACCGGAGTGCTTGTGGCTTGATTTGAAATTACTTGACTCAAGAGATCAAATATGGGGTGATGATAGAGATTTTTATAGAAAAATTATGAAGGATACTGGAGAAAAAGAATCTCATGAAGACCATGAAGAAACATCTTCATATGAAGCATCTACTCTATAGATTTCAAATGAGATGGGGTTTAATATTGATGGCAGGTGAATAACTTATAAAACTATTATCATATCTGTTAAATTTGAATGAAAAAGTTGGAGATGAAGACAAGACACTTCTTCAGTTGCATTTGCTCCAAGATAAGTACGAAAACTTCATGATGACACTTTTTCATGGGAATGAGGTTTTTTTATGGAAAAGTGGCTACTGTGCTACTGAATCATGAGTTTATCAAAGGGAAAAAAAGTCTGCAAAGATGGAGTCAGCTGAGACAGTTACACTTCAACGTGGAAGATATGGGAAGAAGAAGAAGAATTTGGCAAATAAAGGTGGGAGTGTCGACACTTCTCAAAAGCAGGGATAGTCTTGTAGGCGCAGTCTTAGAAAAAATCATTATGCTTTCTATTTAGAGGTTGAACATTGGAAGAAAGATTGTTTAAGGATAAAGGAGATGAGAAAAGAAGTTGCATTTGAGGCATGTTGACCTCACTTTTGGTTGAGGTTTAGTTTTTCCTCTTTAGTAGCCTAGATCTAGCCATAGGACTTTCTTGTTGACTATTCCTAGAAAAATAGAAAAGGAACCCTCACCATTAGAAATTCCAAACTCCTCTTTCCTCAACTTGAAGTTCCACATAGTGGTCTTAACCTCTAGCACTTAGTAGGTGGGGTCATTATGGGGGAGCCCAAGGAGAGTTCCCACAGGACTGCTTGACCTTAGGGTTGACCCTGGGTGTTGGTCTAGAGCTAAGGTACTCGCCTCACTCACAGTCACTCACAAATACAAATCCAAAATTTCTTGACTTTGATCCTTTGATCCTTTGGGAGACTCATGTAGATGGTCCCCTAAACCCACTGGCCCTAGGCTAGGGTTTAGCTAAGACCAGTACATAGAGGACCCAAATGGGATTTCCATTGGTTCATAGCTCATTTATGATGGTTAGCTCCCCAATTCTACAATTCATAGCTCATTGTTCATAGCTCATTTATGATGGTTAGCTCCCCAATTCTACAATAAATACCCAACTTGGCATTTTTGTCCCTAAACTCCCCCAAATTACCTAAGTACCCTTGAAACCCTAAATTTTGCCAAAATTCCCAAATTTACCCAAAATACCCAAATTTGATCAAAAATCATTTCAAACCTTTTCAAAACATCCAAATTACCCAAAATCACCAAAAATTGCCAAATTATCAAAATGCCCCTCCTTAGCCCAAAACTTCAAAAATTCCAAAAAAATCCCAAAAATTTCCAAAACCTTCCAAACATTCCCAATTTAATTTTTCTCAACTACCACATGACCCAATTTGACCAATTTGAGCATTTTCACCAAAAACCCCAAATTGCCTTTAAAGGCCTATTTTCCCTAAATTCACCTCAAATGTCCATCAATTTGGTTCCAATTTCCCCCAATTTCAATTATAAACTCAAATTCACCTTTCATATGACCAATATAAACCAAATAAAAGCTCAATTGACCCATGCTTTGAGCCCAATTTTGATCTAAATCAAACCCCCAACTTTGGCCCTATGACTTGGTTCCACCAAATTGAACCTTATAGCCTACTCAATTGGCCTCAATTTGAATCCTAAATTCTTCATAACATTCCTACACATCAAACTTGACATTCAAGTGGCCTTGGTGAGGCCTCAATTTCATTTATTTTTAACCCAAGTCCAAAAATCCCTAAATTGGCCATGTCTCAAAATTCCACCAAATTGATTGTCTTAGCCCCAAAATTTCCACTCAATTCCTTCATGAAAAACCTTCATAACATCTTCCTTGATCATTTGAACCATTTAATTGAGCCAGGTTCTAAGCCTAGCTCAACCTAATCCCAAGTCTATTCCAACATGCCCAAATTGACCAAAATCTCAAAATCCTTCAAATTGAGCTTCCAATTGAACTCAAAATTACTTCAATCCTTCGCCAAAAATCTTCATTACAATCATCTACACAATATTGATCAATCAATTGGGCTCAAAGTCATGCCTAGCCTAACCTAAACCCACTTTAATCCCAATTGACCTACATGGAGCCCTTCACCAAAAGTTGACCCAATCTAGTCAAATTGGTCAAGGCAAAGCAACCACAACCAAATTTTGGACCTTATTAACTAGGCTAAACCCCATGAAACTACCCATTTGAGCCATGGACCAAAGGATCCCCAAATCTAGGGAATTATTTCCAAAATTGCTTAAGCTTAAGGGATTTTTGCCAAAACTAAACAGCTGCCCCAATAAATTGTTGTGAAAGATTCCCCTGGCTCACCTGACCTTCTGGCCACCTCCCATAGCCTTGCCGGCCGCCTAGTCACCGAAGGAGCCAAAATCATGAGCCACCCTCAAAAAATCCAATCCCAATTCAAACCTATAGGCTGCCTCATCCTATTTGAAGTTTAGAGCATCTTTACCCTCCACATATGCAACACTTTACACCCATACATTGGTCCACAGAGCCACCCTAAGCCATTTTTATAAAATCTCCACCTCCATGGCCATGAAGGTGTGTTGAAAATTCCTTAAGGATACCCTCTGAAATCACTCCCTGAGCTTCCTTCAGACCTCCATAGTGCATCCCAACCACTCTATTGCCCTAATTCCCCTTGCCAGAGTTCAATTTTGGAGCTCAAATCCTTACTGGAGATAAGAAATTCTCCACCACACCTCCACAGTGCACAAAATCCAAATTAAACTCACCCACATCATCACCACAATGAACTAAGACAAAGCCCTATCAAATCCCCCTCATACAGAGCCTCTAAGAAGCTCAAGACCAACACCCAAATTCGGCCTCGATTGAATTCGGGTCTAGACCTTTAACCACGACTAGAGGCTCAATCCATAGCCTCCTTGGACCTCTATGAACATGCCGAGCACCTCTGATTGAAGCTTCTCTTCTCAGAGCAAAGGTATGGAACTTCCCCTCTTCTCGAGCCTATTTTGATTCTCCATTTGATTATGGTTAGTTTAATGGCATGTTTGCCATATGGATGTGTTCGTCACACTTAGACGAGTCCATAAAATCAAACCCAAGGTCATTTTGTTGAGAAATGAGTGAGATCTTAGGGTCACGGGATAGCCTATTTGGGGACGATGACGAGATCTAGCTGGATGAACTCTCGGTGCGTGAACTGCATGACGCGTGGCATGCCAAGGTGGAAAGCGCAACGACTGGGAGCCCGTCGCGTCGTCGTTCGGAGCTGCCTAGGATGAGGTGGCATCGCGCGTTTAAGTAGATAACTAGTCAATTAAATAAATCAAAAAATGATCACTAACTTCAAAAATTCATATCTTGGTGTAGAAAAATCACAAAAATAAAATAAAAAAACCCTCTTACTTAGTGAACAGAGGAAAATAATATGAAAATAATTTGAAGTTTATATGATGCATATATTATTTTTAGTTAATTAAACACTATTTTGA